ACATTGTACCCATGTGAGGAATCGAACCCGTGTTTATATTATTAAAGCGTTTGCTCGTCACGCCGAAGACCCGGGTTCGATTCCCCACATTGGCACAATGTGTGAAGCCCATTCCTGGTGTCCCCTGCTGTGATATTGCTGGAATATTGCTTTTGAACCGAACCACTAGACTAACTCACCGACCTATTATTTGTAAGTGTGATAAGCCTGCTGAACGGCATCAGATAATATGCGAACATGTAATACAGGTAACAGTTGCTATTCTATAATGGGATTACGTTTCATGCACTCATTGGAATGGCTTGTAATGGTATATTTCCCTCACTCTCTCACAGAACCATTTGCATTAAAAGATTTATGCCAACATTATCTTGGATGTCCAAGCTGTTTTACACCGTTGCTATGACAATATCGTTCGATTAAAAATGGAGTTTAGTTATTGCGTAATTTTTCTGTGACGCTCAGAAATTATCATTCAATCCTCCTATACCTAAGCGACTATGTATATTATAGGCGGTGAAATGACTGTGATCTGCTCGCCGCAATAGCTGTATCTGGAAATAGTTTACAGTTTTACTCTCCTTGCCCCAGCAGTACATAATAGCATCTTCAAATAACTTTTATTCATTTTGTCTATAACGCCTCTACTCGCGGAGGGCCGGGTTAGAATATTGATCTTCAGTAACCCATGCTTGTCGTAAGAGGCGACTAACGGAATCGGGTGGTCAGGTTCGCTGACTTGGTTGACACAAGTCATCGGTCCCCAATTGCGCAGATCGATGCTCATGATGTTGATCACTGGATTGTCTGGTCCAGGCTCGATTATTTACAGACCGCCACCATATAGCTGGAATATTGCTGAGTGTGGCGTAAAACTCAACTCAACTCAACTCAACTCACTCACTCACTCACTCTATAACGCCTCACCAGAAATACTCAAGACTGGTCAGTCCGGTGATCCACATGCAATAATTTATGCCGCGGAGAGGCGATAACACCAAACCTTTATACCCGATCAAATCACCATCTGGGTAGCCTAGTGGTTAAAGCGTTCACTCGTCACGCCGAAGGCGCCCGTTTGTTTGTTTGTTTGTTTGTTTGTTTGTTGTGTTTGTTTGCTTGCTTGTTTACGCAGCGCTCTACATGACGGTTCTTGGTTGGTTGGATGGGTGGGTAGTTTGTTTGTTTGTTTGCTTGCTTGTTTGTTTACGCAGTGCTCTACATGACGGCGGTCTGTAAATATTCAAGTCTGGAATGAATGAGGGAGTTTAGTTTTACGCCGCACTTAGCAATATTCCAGCTGTATGGCGGCGGTTTGTAAATAATCGAGTCTGGACCAGACAATCCAGTGATCAACATCATGAACACCGATCTATGCAATTGGGATGTCATGTGTCAGCCCAGTCAGCGAGCCTGACCACCCGATCCCGTTAGTCGCCTCTAACGTGATCCATGGGTTGCTGAAAATCAGTTCAAATTTCGGATCTTCACGGGTTGCGTTGGTGGTAGACATCACCTTATTTCACCCTCGCGGAAATAGAATGGACCCGGTTGTAATAACCATCTGGTCGTGCCACCCTCAAGTAGCAAGTTCCCCATAGTGTGTATCTGCGCTGCCTGCCCATATGACACAACATGTAAAACATTCACCAAATCAGACTTAAATCTGTAATCCAATCGTAGATTTAATACCCCAGACACAAGAAATATGAAATGGTAACAAGTGATTTAAACATGTGGGGGTAATCACTGACACTCTCAGAGTGAGTGAGTTTAGTTTTACGCCGCACTCAGCAATATTCCAGCTATGGCGGCAGTCCGTATATAATCGATTCTGGACCAGACAATCCAGTGATCAACAGCATGCGCATCGATCTGCGCAATTGGGAACTGATGACATGTGTGACACTCTCAGAGGCAGGGGTGACTTAAAAAGTTGGACTTGAAAGTTTGATTTGAAAGTTTTTCGCCTGTCAAAATGAAAGTTGTGACCACAAACCTTGTATTAACCTTTTTGGTATGTGACACATGCATATATTTTGTACATTAAATTTAACTGAAGATGCGTACCACATTTTGTTGATGTGTCCGTACTACACTGACCTAAGTGAGAGGATATGGTTTAAATATTGTTGGAGTGAGTGAGTTTAGTTTAACACCGCATTTAGCAACATTCCAGCAATAGCACAGCTGGGGACACCAGCAATAGGCTTCACACACTGTACCCATATGGGGATTCGAACCCTTGTCTTCGGCGAGAACCATTAGGCCATTGGCGGATCGGACACGACACTGAAGTTAATGTTTTACATTGGCGGAAACCCTCCCCAACCCCCCTTTGAAAATTCCTGAATACGCCGATTTAAGGAATATCTGCCAAAATATCATCCTACATATTATGTAAATTCAGTATGTTAATAAAGACTGATAACACCAATTATATTTGAGAACTTTGTATGTATATCCACCATGCTTTTGTGTACAGCGAAGCACCTTCGTAAACATTGTGATCGTGTAGTCGAGTGTAATACTCTATATACTGATTATGTTTTAACATTTAAATGTTTTATTTCAATATGTTGTAATTATTAATAATAAAATAATGCCATTTGTATATTTCAGATAAAGTAGTAACTGCTATTATATATTGTATTAATTTCATACTTATAAAGCATTCATCTTTATTGATGTACCTACAATAATGGAACAAATGTAAGTAGTTGTAAGAGAAGTAACATCATCAAAGATTTTCTCTTTTGTTAACTTATTCTCATTGGGTCAGTCCATTTGAGTGTAGGGTAGATCAGTAAGCATTGGTTATCAAGGTAGAAACCTTGACATATTCATGATTGGCTGTCCCACTTTTAAACCCTTCACCTCTGAAATTTTTTTTTACTACACAGAGAGTAGCTCGTCGCACTGGGACAAATAGACTGGATCTGGGCCTAGATTTTCGAAGCTCTCTTAGCGCTAAGAAAGTCGTAAGTGCCAAACATTAACATTAACTTATTATCTAGGCCATGGAACTTAAAGGTTGTCACGAGGACCTGGTCATTATATCAACCAGACTACCTCTGTGTTCACAGGGGTGTCAGTTTGTCGCTGGTGTTGAATAGACAGACCTCACACCCTAGCATGTATGGAATACTGTAAGGGACATTCTCGCGATCTCGCAATCTCGACCTTTGGAAACAAGCTAAAAATGCCAAAAGTGCGAGAATGCGATATCGCGAGAACGCGAGATTTGGCCAAAATCTCGCGATCTCGCATTCTCGTGTTTTTGGCATTTTTAGCTTGTTTCCAAAGGTCGAGATCGCGAGAATGCGAGATCACGAGAATGTCCCTTACAGTATTCCATAAACATGTGCCATCGTGGTAACTCCGTCAGTACACATTCAAGGCTATTACAATCGTATGCCATTATTGTGATCTGTCTTAGTATTTAAGGTCTTTAGCAAAGATATAGTAATACAATGTATCCATGGATCACAGACAATCAGTAATGTTTGTTTTGTTTGTTTGAGTGATTTTTGTTTAACGCCGCACTCAGCAATATTTCAGCTATGTGACGGCAGTCTGTAAATAATCCAGTCTGAACCAGACATTCCAATGATCAACAGCATCAGCATCCATCTACACAATTGGGATACGATGACATGTGTCAACCAAATCAGCGAGCCTGACCACCCGATCTCGTTAGTCGCCTCTTACGACAAGCATGGGTTACTGAAGATCAATTCTAACCCGGATCTTCACAGGTAGCAATGAGTTAGTGGAGTAAGACCACGCCATCACACGATCACTGTCAAAGCGAATCAACTTACTGCTCAGAGTGTTGCCTGTGTCAGACCTGTATTTCTTTGGCGAAACACCTAGCACCAGTACAATAGCTGACAAACTATTACCGATAGTGATGACACCATCTGTAAAAAAAGGGTACGCATGTCCTGCTCAACTGGACCAGGTGACACCCTCTTCACTGTATCAAGCATTCATGTTGACCATGTTTACGCCTATCTGTGTTGAGAATTGTACGTCAGACTTCGGGTGTCAATACTGAATTTCAGTGCTTCATTCGCATAACTCTCTGTTTCGGTTTATAAGTGAGAGTGGTTATTCTCGGGCACCGACGTTTTGTATTTGACAAACAAAAAAAGAAATAATTCCATAACCTGACCGTATTTATTCTGTGAACGATGAAACGTGTTGTATATCAAGCAACGCCATTGTGGAATGAAATGGTAAACTAGCAATAAATAAGGAGGGAACATATATGGACATGAAATGAGTTGAATAATTACTGTAATCCCAAATATAACATATGTTAAATAATTGGGTTCTTTAAGTATTTTACAGTTTGTTTCAAAGTAATTGTTAATGTTTCAGAACCATCATGGTTGATAAACACCAGAATGTTCTGAATGGACAATTGTTCTTATTATATGTATTTTGTTACGAACGAGAGTAAAGAGGGCTTAAATTATAATAAACTGCATTAAAGGAATGTAACGTTAATCGAGCATCGCGTTGAGCTGGGCAATCTGTTGTCTTGGTGGTAGATGCTGACATGTCAGAGAGACAAATACCTATTTTGTCATCATTTCCACGTCGACAAGAGTTAAAGCTCGTCGACGGATCGAAAGCTTAAATTATTGTTCCCGTTTCGTTTTAAGAATCTTAATTTAACAATTGTGAAATTAGAAGCGTCATCATGACGTCATTATTTGAAAATGCGTCGTACGAATTCCCTTGTTCCGAGGTCCCAGCGTTTATCCAGCTGCTATGGGTTGAAGTGGTGGGGCGAGTCAGGAATAGACGTTGAGGAGGTTGTACAGAAGATCCCGAAGGACGCACATTGTACATTTGTCTGTCAACCGTGTTTGTCCAGGTCCCCAACCTTGACGGGTACTGGGGCGATGCATGTGCACCATATGGGTAATTTGGTTCACTCTGACGCAAGATGAGTGGGTGTTGCCAGTTGTGATGTACAGGAAGGCGTGCTATTGTGGAATGCTGTTTCGTTTGGTATTGTGGTTGGTTTTGAGGCGCATTGAGAGTCCGCTGCCCCATCTGTTGTACAGGAGCAGGGACCGGGGGTCTTGATATGGTGTGCTGTTCTATCGGTGGGTATTGCCTTGTCAGTTGACCAGGTCGGTTCTGGACGTTGAGCACGTACTGTTTCCGAGTTGTGACCGGGTATTGTTTGGGTGTCGGGTACAGCTGAAGAGGAATGGTTTTCCTCTGAGGTTGGTTCTGTGTCCTGATTGGGTATTGCACGTTCGGGTTTTGACTTGACGAATAACTTGTGTCTGAGGGGCACGTTGAGTTGACTTTGTGTCATATGCGCTGGGTCTTCTTGCAGGATAGTTTGGTCTTGGTTGCTGTCTTGGAGGGGAATATGGTCTTGGTTGCTGATTTAGAGGGGATGTTTGACTTGGTTGCTGACTTGGAAGGTAATTTGGTATTGGTTGCTGTCTTGGGGAGGAATTTGGTCTTGGTTGCTGTCTTGGGGGGGAATTTGGTCTTGGTTGCTGACTAGGAAGATAATTTGGTTTTGGTTGCTGACTAGGAAGATAATTTGGCCTTGGTTGCTGACTTATACTGTCCTTTGGTGGAATCTTTATAATATACTGTTTAGGGATAATATTTGGCGATTGTGGTCTTACTGGGATATTGGTGACTTGCGAATTTGTAATGTCAAATCTGTCATTACTTACTGGCACCACTGAAACAATTGTCGGTTGTCTTGTAGTCCGTGTGTACGCAGGGGTTTTGGTTGACGTTGGAGGTGATACAGAGCGTACGGTTGTGACTTCTGCCGTTGATGTGACTGTCGTTGCCTCTGCTGAAGGAGCATTAGTTACCGGGGCAATGTCACTTGGAACACCTTCAGCTTGTATCGCAAAGGAGGCCGCTGGTGATGCTGTTGGAACACCCTGTGAAGGGGTACCGGACAAATTAACACCGAGACTTATTTTAAGATTCTGGCCTGTCTGTTTAACCCAGGTAGATGGACCAAGTTCTACTGGCGTAGTTGTTGCTGTGGTAGTCGTAGATGTAGTAGCGGTGGAGGTGGTAAGAACTGTTGTGGTGGAAGGGGCCGATGTAGTAGTTGTTGGAGTTGTGGCAACTGTCGTAGTAGCAGTATCAGGGGCAGATGTTGTTGTTGTAGTGGATGAGTCCGGAACGAGTGTTGTAGTAGACGGGGTGTATCGATCTACAGCAGCCCGTGTTGTGTTTAGGAGCACCGTAGGCACGTCATTTACTGCTGTCGTCGTGATGGCTTCGCTTGCTGGAGAAAACGTTGTTGTTGGAAGTTCAGTTGCTGGGGTTTCACCTGGTCTCGAAGTCTCTGGTGAAGCAATTCCTGCATTTGGCAATGCCTGGCTGCCAGTCTGTAGACTGTTAGAACTATCTGGCACGGCATCAACATATTGACCTTGCTTGTATGGGTCATACGAAGGGTACGAGGGGTAAGGTTGTTGCCATTCATGGTAACCTGGACCAAACCTGTTTTCAGGATACTGATATGGATTTAGGTGCATACTGGGATCTGCAAATGGCACCTGGTACTGGTTCACATGCTGCGATATGATCGGTACCTCAGGTGTAGCCAATGGGATTGAATGAAGGTCCACTTTGAGATTTCGAGGTGGAGATGCGTTATTGACGTCAACAGGCGGGTATGTATACGAATACGGTAATGGAGAGTTATTTGGAGGCTGGTTGTACTCGGGTGAGAGAGACATGCTTGACAGCGGCTGAGCATTAGGATTAGGGTTAGATGGAGTATCTGTGTTAGGGGTAGGACCGTTCATAACTGGAAATTGTTGCGGAGGAACTGAGTTCCAGATGACGTGATGTTGGTCTGGGACAGAGACAGGGTAACCCATTGCATCATTTGGAACTAGACCTTGTTCGACTCTCATTTGAGGAACCTGTTGATGAAACTGACCAGAAGGGTCGTTGACCTGATGAGGTGGTTGTGTTATTGGTTGATCCAGGAAGGCTGGTCTTTGAGGGCCAAGAGCTTCGACCCAAGAACCTTGATTTTGAGATGTTTGAAAATTGACAGCTTGGTTTCCATATGAAGGAACGTGACTTGGAAATGGCGGAAGACCATAATATTCCGCTGTCGGTGCTGACGGATGGTAAATTTGGTTTGAAGGTGGAGGTTGACTTTTAGGAGTATTCAGTTCAGCAGGGGTTTGGTCCAAGAATGCAGGTCTCTGGGGTCCGTAAGGGTCTTCCCACATCATCTGCAGGTTTTGATCGATTCTTTGATTTTCTAAAGAACTTTGTGTGTTTTGGGTCGGTACGTGTGTCTCGGGAGGAATTGGGGGAGCCTCCGTAGGCTCCACGTCCACTGGCATTGGCGTCGTTGTAGATGTTTGAGGACTACGATGGCTTGGGAAGGTCCCTGGATTGTATTGGTTTGTATTTCGCTGTGGGTCGTATTGGATGGGATTTGGTTGCTGGTACTGGTTTGTGTTTGGTGGTAGTATGTACTGGTTTGTATTCTGGTGGACGTCATATGGCTGAGGGTATGCATGGTTTTGTGGGGCATGGATGTCTGGAGCTTGCGTATGTTGTTGGAGTATCACAGGTGGTGCCAAGTACATATCTGGATTCTTGTATCCAATCGACCTCAAGAAATCCCTGAATCCATGGGTGTTCGTGAATGGAACGTTGGTGTCATCTGCAAATTAAACAAATATAGTGAGAAAATTGGTACAATGGTACATATCTGGGAATTGGTAGTGTGTGTGTGTATGTGAGTGCGTGATTGCGTGTATTTGTGTGTGAGTGAGTGTATGTATGTAAGTGTGTGTGTATGTGAGAGAGAATGTCCGTATGTGTGCGTGTGCGTGTGCGTTTGCGTGTGTGTATGTATGTGTGTGTCTTTGTGTGTGTCTGTGTCTGTCTTTGTGCGTGCGTGCGTGTGTGTGTTGTTTCTGTGTCTGTGTGTGTGTGAGTGTCTGTGTTTGTGTGTGTGTTACCCGTGAAGATCAGGGTTAGAATTGAAAGAGGCGACTAACGGGATTGGGTGGTCAGGCTCGCCGACTTGGTTGGCACATGTCATCGTATCCCAATTGCGTTGATCAATGTTCATGCTGTTGATCCCTGGATTGTCTGGTCCAGATTCGATTATTTACAGACCGCCCCCATATAGTCGGAATATTGCTGAGTGCGACGTAAAACTTCACTCACTCAATCACTCACTATATATGTGTGTAGACAGTTCTCCAGTTTGGACTGCCTTTGTGTGTAACGTGTTTAAACATACAGTATGTATGTGTATGGTCCTCTTCATGCTACTCAAATACAAGTCCCGTTTGGAGACATATCTACACGTATAAAGATATAAACTGCCGGGTAAAAGTTTTTTATTTAAACGTTGGATTAAACAAAAAAATCAGCAAACGTTTTCGAAACAGTTTCCGGAACATTGCAAGCTTAAGACCTTAAAAACAACTTATAGTTTCAAACACATCAACACAGGTAAAGATTTCTCGTTTGTTTCATTCTACTCCACCATCAAACATTCCTGTATACTTTCTTTCACAGTCAGTACACGTAAAACTAAAGTACTCACGGAAATAGAAATAAAATGCATTTTTTCGTTTCGTAGTTTTGAACACAACTATAGTTTCATTGTTAAATATTCTATGACTATCGTTTTTTGCATATCATACAATGTGAAATATCAAATTTAGGTGTTTAGCATACATTTGTAGGATTACATAGAAATATGTTTCATTCTGTTACTCAGTGACTGTAATCTAATGAGCTTGGGACATTTGCAAATCGCTTAACTTTTGTTTTTAACACTTTTTGTAAAATCATCGAAAATAGATCAGTTGACAGGAGAGCAGAATAGAGTCATACCCCCTGATATTTCATCAAAGTCAAAATGTACGTTTCTGATGCAAGCTGATGCAAATGAGATGTACGCTCCATAGGTTCGCGTACATAATATATTTTATGAAAAACGTCATATACCATTCATCCTTTTTTCTTTTATCCTAATTACCATGCAAAATAATTGATTTAGGGATTTTCTCAGTACATGTTTCATGCCTGTAGTCTTGTTGAACGTTTGCTACTTTTACGAGTTCATTCATAGCCTTTATTGTCAATCGCGCACGTGCAAATATTCCCGTCTAAACAGTTCTGCAGGTAGTAACCGTTGTTACCATCTATTGTTGATTGTTGTTACGTAAGTTGTAACATATTTCTAAGTTTGTTGACAATATGCACATTTTTGTTATTTTAACCTGTAAAAAATTGTATTTTCAATGATTTTTAGAGGATCAAATTAAAAGGCTTAATTGGGGAAAACATAGCTGTTATAATTTTTGTTAAAACTACCAATTTTAATGAAGTTAAAACAAATAAACGCCAACAATCATTTTATTTCAATTTCCGTGAGTACTTTAGCAAACAGTATCAATGATTCCTTAATTCAAATAAAATACCAACATTGATATGAAACAGGTATATATATATATATACGTCAGCAATACTTACATGTACACCCTTTTCTGTCAGGCGTTTGTTTGAATCCATAGTTACATTTACACTCGTACGACCCGTCGTAGTTGATACACCAACCATCTGGACATACTGTGTTCACCCTGCATTCGTCGTAGTCTGCAACAGGAAATGTGAGTGAGAGAGTGAGTTTAGTTTTACGCCGCTTTTAGCAATATCCCAGCAATATCGCGGAGGGGGACACCAGAAATGGGCTTCACATTGTACCCATGTGGTGAATTGAACCCGGGTGTTTGGCGTGAGGAACGAACGGTTTAATCACTGGGCTAGCCCCCTACCCCTGAAACGTTTATATCGTTTAAAAACTCTGAAGTTTAATCACTGGGCTACCCTACTAAATCTTTGATAATCCTCATCAATGCAAGCGTACAGGAACAATATCTGCATATATATGGGAGTTCTCAGGGGAGGTCACCATATCAGAGTACCATCAGTGCAATTTACTGTGCCTGGCTGTCCCTTTCTCTGCACTCCTCCTCGTAACAAATAGTGAACTGTGTAAATATTTTAATGATAGTTTGTTAAACAACTTTTTTATTTTTAGGACATAAATTCTGCAAAAACCTCACAGAGTAGGTCTGACGTTTTCATTATGATCAGTGTTTCATTGAGTATTTTATGGTTATTAGTTTTCGAGTTAGATTGCAATTCATCTGTCCGCTTTTGAGCCAAACGTATAGGAGAAACTTGTGAAGGGAAAATAAGTCTGCATATTTTATAAACATCAACCAAAAGTAAGCCTTTCTTGACAGATATCGCGATTCGGCAATATTCAAAGTAAAGTATTGATGTATCGTGGCCCATTTGAAGTATCGTATCGGGATATACGACAATGTAAAACTTTGTATCGATTCACTGTATCGGCGGCCCATGGATCGATGCATCGATGCGTATCGATGAATCGTCACACCACTAATCTCTAAGATAGCGTTAAGGTGATCGTAACTAACAGATTCTGACACAGACTCGCTTCAGTCGAATCTCTAAGACAGCGTTGGGTGATCGTAACTCCCAGATTCTGACCCAGACTCGCTTCAGTCGAATCTCTAAGAGAGCGTTGGGTGATCGTAACTCCCAGATTCTGACCCAGACTCGCTTCAGTCGAATCTCTAAGAGAGCGTTGGGTGATCGTAACTCCCAGATTCTGACCCAGACTCGCTTCAGTCGAATCTCTAAGAGAGCGTTGGGTGATCGTAACTCCCAGATTCTGACCCAGACTCGCTTCAGTCGAATCTCTAAGAGAGCGTTGGGTGATCGTAACTCCCAGATTCTGACCCAGACTCGCTTCAGTCGAATCTCTAAAGAGAGCGTTGGGTGATCGTAACTCCCAGATTCTGACCCAGACTCGCTTCAGTCGAATCTCTAAGAGAGCGTTGGGTGATCGTAACTCCCAGATTCTGACCCAGACTCGCTTCAGTCGAATCTCTAAAGAGAGCGTTGGGTGATCGTAACTCCCAGATTCTGACCCAGACTCGCTTCAGTCGAATCCCTAAGAGAGCGTTGGGTGATCGTAACTGCCAGATTCTGACCCAGACTCGCTTCAGTCGAATCTCTAAAGAGAGCGTTGGGTGATCGTAACTCCCAGATTCTAAACCGTAAATGACTCGCTTCAGTCATTATCTCTAAAGAGATATTTTGGGTGATCGTAACTCCCAGATTCAAAAGCCCCAGACTCGCTTCAGTCGAATCTCTAAGACAGCGTTGGGTGATCGTAACTGCCAGATTCTGTTGAGAGACTCGCTTCAGTCGAATCTCTAAGAATGCGTTGGGTGATCAATAACTCCCAGATTCTGACCCAGACTCGCTTCAGTCGAATCTCTAAGATATTGCTTCACATTCTAACATAGATTTACGATAGTCGTAGTTCTCACGTCAATTTCACAAAGTGATGATGGCGCTTCCACAAACACACATGCACGTGTGTGATATCCTAAAATAAAGATCTTTGACTTTGAAACTATGGAATATTTGAAGTTACTCTGACCGACGCACACAAAAAGCCTGTTAACGACTGATTCCCGTAGAGGACGTTCTGATAATGTAGCCAACGTCACACTCGATCTTTGACTTTGAGACGTTACTCACCGACGCCTGTGTACCACCACTTGCAGACACCGTTGGCGCATACCCCGGATGTACACTGTGCTGACGCTGGAAAGAACAGTGAGTGAGTGTGTTTAGTTTTACGCCGCTTTTATCAATATTCCAGCAATGTCATGGCGGGGGACACCAGAAATGGGCTTCCCGTGTTGTAGCCATGTGGGGAATCGAACCCGGCTACAAAAGAATTCTATTGGACGTAAAATACCAATGGGCGTTGAAAAGTAGATGCAAGAAACTGGGCACTGACTGACAAAACATTAGACATGTACAATGTGTGAAGCCTATTGTTGTTGTCAGTTGCCCCGATATTGCTGGAATATTGCCATTTAAAAAGTGAGTGAGTGAGTGAGTTTTGAAAATATTCCAACTATATGGTGGCGGTCTGTAAATAATGGAGTCTGGACCAGACAATCCAGGGATCAACAGCATCATCATCGATCTGCGAAATTGGGAACCGATGACATCTGTCAACCAAGTCAGCGAGCCTGACCACCCGACCCCGTTAGTCGTCTCTTACGACAAGCAAGGGTTACTGAAGAATATTCTAACCCTGATCTTCATGGGTCCCATTTAAATAGTGATGACACCAGGTGTTCGCGAAAAGGTGAGAGAATCCTGCCCCACTATGGCACCCGTCACAACCACATGCATCCCTGGTCATGTGGACAAAGCATTTGCCTGTCAAGCGGCGAGCAAGTGGTTCGATGACGTCATACAAAACACCTTGTTGTTGCCCTGCCTTGTGTTAGCTATTGCTAAAAGCGGCGTAAAACCATACTCACTCACTCCTGGTGTTAGTATTACGGGTCGGCTCAGAATCAGTATTGTGTCCGCGTTGAGTTAGTAAGTGAGTTTAGTCTTAGGCCGCTTTAAGGGCCGTGGGGTAGCCTTGTGGTTAAACCGTTCACTCGTCACGCCGAAGACCCGGGTTCGAGTCTCCAAATGGGTACAATGTGTAAAGCCCATATTACTGGTGTCCCCCGTCTTGATATTGCTGGAATATTGCTTGAAGCGGCGTAAAACTAAACTCACTCACTCACTTACGCCGCTTTTACCAATACTCCAGCAATATCATGACGGGGGGCACCAGAAATGTCACATTGTACCCATGTGGGAAATCGAACCCAGGCCTACGGCGTGACGAGCGAACGCTTTAACCACTGGACTACCCTACCGCCCCATGTCCATGTTGAACTGCGGCGTTGTATCTCAGTAGGCAAGCACTTTCAAACAGGCGTTAGTCCGGGCAAGCGAAAGCAGCTATATATACAAACTCATATATCACTATATAAGTGTAAAACCCTTGAACACAACCCTAATCAGGTACGATGGGGTAGCCAAGTGGTGAAAGTGTTCGCTCGATCCGGGATTCAGTGCATAAAGCCCATGTCCCTGGCATGGTATTGTTGTAATATTGCTAAAAGCGGCGCAAAACCATACAATAAATAAATCCTGATCAACTCGCTACATTCATGTAAACATTCCAAGCAAGTTCGTTCGGAAAGAGAAATGTCCTGATCCACGAGAATACATGACACGTTTCATAGATAACAACTTCGTATTTATTCTTTACACGACGTTTCAGAGCTAATTCTTGCTCCTTCATCAGGTGAATGATCACAAAAGTGAAACAAAAGGCTTTCTTATTGCTGCTTAGGACTCGAAATGTGTCAAAATGTGATTTTGTACCAAGATATAAATTCGAAAGGGAGATTTTAACGAGGCTATGAAACATCTGGTTGAATCGGCACAGATTTAGATTCTCAAGGGAGGCTCTCTGAACGACTTCGGCACCAAGTTTAGGTGTAATATGTTGAGAAGAGCAGCGCTGCTGAGTGGTGCTCATTCACCTGATGGAGGAGCAAGAATTAGCTCTGAAACGTCGTGTAAAGAATAAATAAGAAGTTGTTTTCCATAAAACGTGTCATGTATTCATGTTCATCAAACTTCTAAATGCCTTTCAAAAACCTGATACACGAGGTCCACACTAACGAGGTTGCATTACAAATCATTCCAGATAAATATTAAATAAACTTCCACGCAGATAAGTATTTCAATCCAGAAGAAATAACAACACAGAGGTCTTACCTTGTGCAATCACCACAACTCCAATAATTAAGCCAATTGTCCAGCCAGCGTCTTCTCTGGTCATTGTTGTGGCCACGCCAACCCAGCAACTGGCGTCAACTGACCCTCCGCGTTATATTTAACTATTATTCTACCTCTGATTAATCTTATTTGAATTCCTTGACGCAGTATATAGACTCTGACCCTTACAAACAAGTTCAGATGACCCTATTATTAATTAGACAGTCTTAGCGGTCATGACAGTACACGGCAATAGTGAGAGTCGGTGATACATCGCCTGAAACATATTGCATAATCCAAGCCCTACTGACGTGGATCTGTCACTCAGACAGCCATGTATCGTGTCCAAACACTCATAACTCAGCAATTCTATTATATTTCAGGCGGTAATTTATCAGCTTGATAAACATAAAGGAAATAGGTTCGAAGTAAATCAAAATCAATGTCGAATCTGTGAGAAGAGGGTTGGTTGACTTGTTGTTTAACGCCGCACTCAGCAATATTCCAGCTATATGGTGGCGGTCTGTAAATAATCGAGTCTGGACCAGACAATCCGGTGATCAACGGCATAAGTGAGGAGAGGGGAGTATGATGAAGTCAAGACGTCAGAACCATGCATATTGGTATGAATGTGAAATTTGCTCTACATTAGGTTCATGCAGGGAAATTTATACTCATGATAAAGATGATGAAGATTGTTCACCTTTGCATCTTCATTTGTCTGATGGTTTTCATGCGAAGCATGTCAAAATTCATGGCATTCCACAGTTTTTGTAAACGAGCCAAGGATGTTGGACAGTCTCAATGTCAATGTCCATTTTGTTGATGGTTCTGAACTGCTAGACGGTACAGAAATGAGTGTCAACCAAGCGAAAAACCATATCGAACCGGCAGAGACTAAGAGAAGGGAAGTATCTCTGAAAAATCGCAGTACCAAGTTTATGTGCAGTGCGTTGCCTGCTTCGCTTGGATAAATTCGTCTGGCCTGAAAAGTGAAACAATATGCTTTCTTTCTGCTGCTTAGGACTCGAAATGTGTCAAAATGTGATTTTGGACCAATATATAAATTCGAAATGAAGATTGTAACGTGACTGTCAGACATTTTGTTGAATCGGCACAGATTTAGATTCTCAAGGAAGGCTCTCTGAACGACCTCGGCACCAAGTTTGGTGTAGTATGTTGAGAAGAGCAGCGCTGCAGAGTGCTTCGCTTGGATATAATTCGTCTGGCCTGAAAAGTGAAACAGAAGGCTTTCTGATTGCTGCTTAGAACCAGTTAATGTGACAAATACGATTTTGCATCAAAATGTAAATTCGAAATGGAGATTATGCAACGGATGTAATGAGGTTGTCGATCATCTTGAGACTGGAAGCCCAGTGTCGGCACAAACACAGTATCTTGAGTTGACATGATGGTGTTACTATATCCTTTTGTTAGGAATGGTTAGTTTTGACATGTGGAGAACGTAATGGAAAGTTACAATTATAAGATTTCCTGGACTGGGCACTTATACTGCCTCAAATTCATCCAAGCAAACAAATTCCACCTAGTTTTTGATAAAGCAAAATTAAATCGTGTTTTCATTGTTTTGTCGAGTATGATAAAAATGTGATTGACAAATTTAGTGCAGATGTAAGCGGACAATAAGTTTGAGATCGTGGGAATATGGTTTCATTTGCCTTTTTCCTTAGTATAGATACATGTCTCTCCTCTCTCTCTCTCTATATCTCTCTCTCTCTCTCTCTCTCTCTCTCTCTCTCTCTCTCTCTCTCTCTCTCTCTCTCTCTCATTTGATAACAAAGAAAAACAATGATAACATTTTAAAACAATGTATCTACCAAAACTGCATGTAAGGCGGCTCTTCGATGACACTATGACAGAAAGACTACTTTTGTTTGGAATGATGTTAAATGTGTCATGTGATATACAGACAAACGTTATGGATACCAACGTCTTTATTACGAGATCGCGACGTTTCGATACAGATTCTTGTACCGTTGTCAAGCTGGAATGTTATCTACTGGTCTAAACATCTCTTGAGGGATAACAACAGACTTCCAACGGAAACCTGCTTAATCATATGTAGACTTGACTATGTAGACCGAACATCGTTGATAGCATATGTCAAACAGATATTGAAATACGGATTCGGCTAAACATAGTTTATGCAGGATTTGGTAATGAGACCGCCTATATATCAGAAATGTAGATGCGCATCGCCTGTAATAACTCTCAGGAATGACAAATAGATATAACAACAACCACAAATTGACATCATGTCCCACGTGCAAATCTGTTTTAAACACGGAGCACTGTTTTACCATCATAAAGCTGAATACGGAGCACTGTTTTACCACCATAAAGCTGAATACGGATTCGGCTATTCATGGTTTATGCAGATTAGTTATAGGACATAACAGAACTTTATTACTTTTCGGGCCGTAAGAGAACGGCATATGAAGATCACAATGATTATATACATTTTGGTAACAGGTAAGACAATGGCATATGAAGATCACAATGATTATATACATTTTGGTAACAGGTAAGACAACGGCATATACATTTTGGTAACAGGTAAGACAATGGCATATGAAGATCACAATGATTATATACATTTTGGTAACAGGTAAGACAACGGCATATGAAGATCACAATGATTATTATACATTTTGGCAACAGGTAAGACAATAGCATATGAAGATCACAATGATTATTATACATTTTGGTAACAGGTAAGACAATAGCATATGAAGATCAAATGATTATTATACATTTTGGCAACATGAAGATCACAATGATTATATACATTTTGGTAACAGGTATATACATTTTTTTGATCACAATGATATACAGGTAAGACAACGGCATATGAAGATCACAATGATTATATACATTTTGGTAACAGGTAAGACAACGGCATATGAAGATCACAATGATTATATACATTTTGGTAACAGGTAAGACAACGGCATATGAAGATCACAATGATTATATACATTTTGGTAACAGGTAAGACAATGACATATGAAGATCACAATGATTATACAATGTATATATATATTGGTAACAGGAGTGTTCACTTTCCCAGTGACCTGTACCTGAATATGACAGTGTTACAAAGAATACAAAGTTTTCGTAGTTGTTTTAAAACAATTCACAAAATTTAACAGAGTTTGGTCTTTTGTAAAAGTAAGGTTTAATAAATTTGTTTGGCTGTTTATCAGAAATACAGTAGCGCTTCACCAGTGATGACTACCAGCTACGCCAAATGCATACATATAACAACATGAGATTCACATCACATTCCACGTACAAATCTCTTTAAAACATGGGGCATTATTTAATAATAGAGTCAAAACATTGGAGCAGGCATTATCCAGATTAAGATGTGTTAGATGTGGAAGTGATGAAGAAAGACTATGTACTTACTGCTCTCGATGTGGATTTGGCGATGTTGAAAATGTTACTTGTATGTACATGATTTATAGATTTACGGAATTAATGTATACATTTAAAGCATCGTAACAATTCGTAACTAATGTCATTTGTTACTTTAATGAATTGGGATTGTTTCCATACGTTGTTGAATCTGGCTAATTAATTCTTATTTGCTTTCAAACTGTATCTGTCACCCTATCTGTGGAGTGGAGTAGGGTTGCCTAATGGTTAAATAACAGCACTTGCCTGACCTGTATCGCTTGTGAATATATAATCTCACCCGATCAGTTGAACTAGTTGATTGAGGCCACCGGCCATTATAGCAAATACCAATCCATCCTTCATTTATTGTAGGGCGGTGGGGTAGCCCTGCTGTGAAAGTGTTCGATCGTCACGTGAAGGCCCGGGTTCGATTCCCCACATGAGTACAATATGTGAAGCCCATTTCTGGTGTCCCCCGCCGTGATGTTGCTGGAATATTGCTAAAAGCGGCGTAGAACCATACTCACTCACTTCATCTGTGAAACGATTTTTTTATTACATCTATACATGGTAGAAATTGTTTGAAATGTTGCAGACATCTGAATGCAATACTGTATTTATAATGTATGGCCTTCGGGGCTGTTGAACTATAGGCTATCCGCCTTCATGAGTGTTCCGTCAATACGACCGGAGATATCACGACTGGTCTTGTCCGTGACGAACGTACGCATTTACCCTGAGGCTACACAACAAAGGTTAAACACCCTGACAGTTTGGAATCCTACAATCTTATTGGTCTGACAACGGTACAGGATCTACGTAATCCACAATGTTAGTAGTGACTAAAAAGACCCGTGAAAGAACTGAAAATGAAAGCTGTACATCTGTATTGAACCTAATGGATGGTAGATGTCAGTTATATCAGTATACGAGGGTCGGTCAAAAGTACGTAGCCTAACTATATTCTCGATGTCCAATGTTTGAAAAGCTTCCATTTATTTTGAAGGAATCGTTAGCAAAGCCATATCCAAAATTTCACATGTGTGGGTAATGTGGTTAACCACATATTTGTCATCACAACACATTGGGGTATAATATTTCTAACAAAATTGCAGAAAATGAAAACGAGTTGTCTTTTGGTACCTCTTGGATAATGGTATGCCCTCAAATAATGTCATATAAAATATGTTAAGTATAGTATTGGATGACTTCCCGTCATGATCAACAGTCAAAAATTTAGATTGCCTGATTTATATTTAGTCGGGGGCTAGTTTTTAAGGACACCCCTTTTTAATCTTTCAAAAATATTGTGTCCAGATATTCAAGCTGGCAGTTTACAATATATTGTGAGCTGACACTTGTGTGACCATTCAGTATTTAGTTTGAACCCTTGGCATCATGTATGCATAAGTGAAAACATTAGAATAAGCTATGTCCTATGATTACGTCATCTGAAAGGGGGATGGGTAGTGTCCCCAAAACAAGCTCTTTCAGTCAACATGAAGTGGGGAGTCACTTTAAAAAGCGGTTGTAATTTCAAATTTCTTTTTATTAACTTTAATATATAAGTGTGATTCTAGGGGACTTCTATCAATCTCAAACACAGAAAATATTTCTTGCATATTTTGTGTCCTGAAGTTT